CTAGGTCTAGTGTTAGTTCTAGTTTTAGTTCAATAAAAATATGCAACATAGTGATATTTTATTCTAAGTAGTGCTACCTACCAGCCATCTTAAGAAAGGTACGGCTAAACGGAATGTTTCTAGTTCTAGGTCTAGTGTTAGTTCCAGTGCTGGTGTTAGTCTAGTTTTATTTGTTATTCAGCGCTGGATAGTTAGATATTTTTATTGAGCTATAACGGACACTGCGTTCCCCGTATTGATCCGTTATATCGAGGTTTTACTGTAATGTCAAATTATATTGACATGTTATATTTTATGTGGGACAAAGTATAGATACGCCCTGGTTTCCATGGAAATATATTTTTGTATATTGCATCTTAAGTGTAATTCACTGTATAGTTAAAAGAATAAGTTATTATATTTAGTTCTCAGCTGCGTTGTCTGAAAATACAAAGAATTCATAAATTTGGAACTAATTTTAAGTTTAAATTTTATTTCTAAGATAAAAAATCTGTGATTTTGCGTTGTTTTGTTTCATTTTGGAGTCTTCGTTGTGTTATAACATACTTTTCTGTCAACATATAGAACATTTATTAACTGTTTTGAAAAGTAACATAGCTGAAAAAGTGTTTTCGTTATTTTCATCACTGTCACTGCATTCATGATTATCATCAGTTACTAAATCTGCCAGCTCTTCTTCTTTCAGTTCAGAATCATGTGACTCAAGTAGTTCTTCAATATCTGACAGTTGAATGATGGCCACTAAAATCATCTCCAGATAACGACCGTTCTAAAGCTACTGTAGCTTGAATGTCATTCTGGAAATTCTCATCATCCTTCTCTTATGTGACAACATTTGTCCAGATTTTCAATCAGCAATGTTGTAATTTCCCAGAGTTGTGGTAAAGTTAGGTTGGTATCACTTTCCAAATCATCTAGCAACTTCTTGAAAGTTCTTCTGATATAATATGCTTTGAATGTAGCTATAATACCTTGGTCTAAAGGCTGAAGAAAAGCATTTTTAGAGTTCTGGGATTTAACGATTTATAAACCAATAGTGAGTTGGCGATAAAATCTCCGAAGCATTTGAATAAACAAGAGTTTTTTTAATTTTTGGATATAAAAATTCTTGAGGGAATTTTTTTCTAAAAAATGCCGGTCTCATCTGCTTTCAATATTTCCAGTGGGTTATAACCACCACCTTGAATTATCCTCTTTAAGGATTGTAGATACAGCTTAGCTGTCTCATAATCAGCTGAAGCAGACCCCACCATTAATTTANTACCGCGAAAATCCGTTTTAAAAAACCTTTATTCTAAATATCTTATTATTTATTTTATTAATGATACAAAATAAATACACTATTAGTTATATATACCGTGAATTTCATATAATTCGCTATTATATTAATGTGGTAACCATAGTTACGAAACTACTATACACTTGCACTGTCTCACGCATTGATAATTTTGCAAAGGAAAAGTTTTGCTTGAAAAAGGTGACATCCTATGATAACTCTGAGTTTCTGTCTAGTGTTAGTTCTACTTTTTTTCAATATAAATATATACCACAATCTATCGCTGAATAACAATTAAAACTAGAACTAACACAAGATCTAGAACTAGAAACATTCGGATTTAGCCGCACGTCTGTCAAGACGGCTAAACCCGAATGATTCTAGTTCTAGGTCTTGTTTTAGTTCTAGTGATAGTGCTAGTGCAAAACTAGAACTAACACTAGACCGAGAACTAGAAACATTCGGATTTAGCCGCACGTCTTTCAAGACGGCTAAACCCGAATGATTCTAGTTCTAGGTTTTGTGTTAGTTCTAGTGATAGTGCTAGTGGAAAACTAGAAACTAACACTAGACCTAGAACTAGAAAGATCTGGTTGGAACTAACACTACACCTAGAATTAGAAACATTCGGATTTAGCCGCACGTCTTTCAAGACGACTAAACCCAAATGATTCTAGTTGTAGGTCTTGTGTTAGTTCTAGTGATAGTACTAGTGTACAACTAGAACTAACACTAGACCTAGAACTAGAAAGTATCGGGTTTAGCCGTGCGTCTTCGGGTTTAGACCCAACCCAACCCGAATGTTTCTAATTCTAGGTCTAGTGTTAGTTCTAGTTTTAGTTCAATAAAAATATGCAACATAGTGATATTTTATGCTAACTAGTACTACCTACCATCTATCAGCCATCTTAAGAGAGGTACGGCTAAACGGACTGTTTCCAGCCCTAGGTCTAGTGTTAGTTCTAGTGCTGGTGTTAGTCTAGTTTTATTTGTTATTCAGCGCTGGATAGTTATATATTTTTATTGACCTATAACGGACACTGCGTTCCCCGTATTGATCCGTAATATCGAGATTTTACTGTAATGTCAAATTATATTGACATGTTGCATTTTATGTGGGACATTTCCTGGTTTCCATGGAAATATATTTTTGTATATTGCATCTTAAGTGTAATTCACTGTATAGTTAAAAAAATAGGTTATTATATTTAGTTCTCAGCTGCATTGTCTGAAAATATAAAGAATTCATAACTTTGGAACTAATTTGAAGTTTAAATTTTATTTCTAAGATAAAAAATCTATGACTTTTCGTTGTTTTATTTCATTTTGGAGTCTTTGTTGCAAATGTTTATAATTGTGTCTTTAATCTTCGTTGTGTTATAGGATATTTTTCTATCAACATATAGAACATTTATTAACTGTTTTGAAAAGTAACATAGCTGGAAAAGTGTTTTCGTTATTTTAATCACTGTCACTGCATTCATGATTATCATCAGTTACTAAATCTGCCAGCTCTTCTTCTTTCAGTTCAGAATCATGTGACTCAAGTAGCTGTTCAATATCTAAGAGTTGAATGGTGGCCTCTAAAATCATCTCCAGATAACGACCGTTCTAAAGCTACTTTAGCTTGAATGTCATTCTGGAAATTCTCATCATCCTTCTCTTATGTGACAACATTTGGCCAGATTTTCAATCAGCAATGTTGTGATTTTCCCAAGGATGTGGTAAAGTTAGGTTGGGATCACTTTCCAAATCATCTAGCAACTTCTTGAAAGTTTTTCTAGTATAATATGCCTTCAATGTAGCTATAATACATTGATCTAAAGGCTGAAAAAGAGTTGTTGTGTTTTTTACAGATGCATGGCCAAACCCGATACTTTCTAGTTCTAGTGTTAGTTCTAGTTTTAGTTTAATAAACAGTGATATTTTATGCTGATTAACGCTACCTACCACCTACCAGCCATCTTAAGAGAGGTACGCCTAAACGGAATGTTTCTAGTTCTATGTCTAGTGTTAGTCTAGTTTTATTTGTTATTCAGCGCTAGATTGTTGTGTATTGAGCTATAACGGACACTGCGGTTCCCGTATTGATCCGTTATATCGAGGTTTTACTGTAATATCAAATATTATATTGACATGTTTCTATAGAAATATGTTTTTGTATATTACATCTTAAGTGAAATTCACTGTATACTTAAAAAATAGCTTATTATACTTAGTTCTCAGCTGCATTGTCTGAAAATATAAAGAATTTATAAATTTGGAACTGATTTGAAGTTTAAATTTACTTCTAAGATGAAAAATCTGTTTGATAAAAAAACCGTTCTAAAGCTACTGTAGCTTGAATGTCATTTTGGCAATTCTCATCATCCTTCTCTTATGTGACAACATTTGGCCAGATTTTCAATCAGCAATGTTGTAATTTTTCCAGGGTTGTGGTAAAGTTAGATTGGTATCACTTTCCAAATCATCTAGCAACTTCTTGAAAGTTCTTCTGATATAATATGCTTTGAATGTAGCTATAATACCTTGGTCTAAATCAGCAATGTTGTAATTTTTCCCGGGTTGTAAGTTAGGTTGGTATCACTTTCCAAATCATCTAGCAACTTCTTGAAAATTCTTCAGGTCTAAAGGCTGAAGAAGAGCATTTTTAGAGTTCTGGGATTTAATGATTTATAAACCAATAATGAGTTGGCGATAAAATCCCCGAAGCATTTGAATAAACAAAAGAGTAGGTACTTTAAAACCAAAAGTAGTTTTTTAATTTTTGGATATAAAAATTCTTGAGGGAATTTTTTTCCAAAAAATGCCGGTCTCATCTGCTTTCAATATTTCCAGTGGGTTATAACCACCACCTTGAATTATCCTCTTTAAGGATTGTAGATACAGCTTAGCTGTCTCATAATCAGCTGAAGCAGACCCCACCATTAATTTAAAATTGTGAAGGCTATGACGATTTTTAAATTTGTCGAAATAAATCAATATTTGATGAAGAAAGTTAACTTTTCGTAAAATTGTCGTAGAGCTTTGTAGCTATATCTCTAATGAATTCAGAGCTTAGAGTAGCTTTTTTTTGAGTTTGATCCTCAATCCATAAAATCAACGCGTTTTTAATTTTTTCTATAGGTCCTTTTCTTGAATATCTGACAAGTTTTAAAGATTTAAGAACTAAAATTTCAACACTTTTTCGAAGTGTCTATTTCCACTAATAGTTCTTATATAAGATTCGTTAATGTTATTTCTTCTAGCTACTTCTGCTAAAGTCATTCTTTCATCTACATAGATCGTCCAATATCGCACATTTTTGTAAATAATCTGTCATATTGAAATGTCTGGCGAAAAAACCGCGTAAAAGCGAATCCGCGTATACAAATACCGCGTAAATGGTTAATTATACCAAATAAAAAAATAGGGTTATGTTTTATGTTTACATTTTAATTAAAAAAAAAAAATAATACCAACTTCAAAACTCGAATTCGATTATTTCAAATTTATTTTTATCCGTATTTAAATAACTTTTAATTTCTTAAAATCGTTAAAACGTATTAAATAAATATACTTAATAATAAAACCCAAATTTTTAACTTATAATAATATTAAAATGTTGAATTAGTACTATTTGTTTTTATAAAAATATCAGTTGGTATGAAATGTCAATGTCAAATTGACATATTTTTTAAGTAGCACATAAAACTTAATTTTAAGTTTTTATGTTTCGTTGTAGATTATTTGGAGCGAGATGCGATAAATGTGGAAATTCATTCAGTAAAAGCGACTTCGTGATGCGGGCTAAAAACAAGATTTATCACGTCGAGTGTTTCCGATGCGTGGCGTGCACGCGACAACTAGTTCCCGGGGATGAGTTTGCGTTGCGCGACGGCGGTGCTCTTTATTGCAAAGAAGATCACGACGTGATGGAGAAAACTTCGGCGCCGACGACACCTCACGCAGCCAACGAAAGCAACAACAACACCAGCTTAAGTAATAACAATCATAATAACACGCAAAGTACAGAACTAGGATGTATGTCAGGTAAGATATATTATACTAAAAATTTAGGTTATATTATTATTTCTTTATTTAATTAAGACATTTTTGAATTTACTAAATAGAGATACAATCTAATGTAACATAAAATATTCATAAGAAATATTAAAGAAACGAATCTAGGAGGTGTAACCAAGTCTATTCCACGCGCAATTTGATGTAATTGCCGTGATTAGTGCGGGGCCGAATAATAAATTAGTCGCGCTACGAGACCGTTCTAGTGTTTTGGACGTTTTGGTGGTAGTCGGGCCACGCTAATTACTTAGTAATTAGTCCTAATGAGACCCCATTTTAATCCACCTCCCTACATTAATCACCGTACAACAAATTTTTATCAAAAAAATACATGAAACAATAACTCAACATTAATTTCATCCAGTTCAATGTCAAATCAACAAGTTTTTCATTTTTTTTGTCATGAGCTTGCAACTTAATAAAACTCTTTGCATAGTCAAATTGTGTTCAGTACCAAGGCTTCATCACATAGTTTATTTCATTACTTAATAATGATGAATGTGATGCATGGTTCTGGTAGGATGGGGACTCTTAATCTCTAAAAGATTAAGACTTCTGCTTTCGCCCTATTTAATGTCTCCAGATTATGTCTTACAGAAAGTGCCTAAAGGCTGATGAACTGGATAAGTTAAGACGAACGCAACAACACTAATGTAAACCTGAGGCATAAAGTTTAGTCTTACTTATTAGAGTATGTGTATTTTTGTCTTTTTGACATAACTGACTAATGATTTGATCATTATGCATAATACAGTAGCTGATGATAAAGACACAGCGGCAATTTTCAAGTATATTAGAGGAAATGCTTTTAGTTGGAAGGAGGTATGCTCTTAATGGCATCATAAACATAATTCTACCTCGACAAAAAAGTGCTGGTTGTAGAAAATGCCTAATTTTGACACACCTCTCATGACAAACCAGAAAGTTGCATGATCGGCAGAAACTAGGATGTTCACCATCCATCAACGTTTGAAAAAGAAGAGTAAACTGTTAGCAACACTTCTGATGAACGCAACACCAAGTTTCAGCGTGTTTAGTAAACGGCTACCATTTTAGGAAACTTAATATTGGTGGGGAAATATTTTGAAATGTATCACTCGATACCTTCCTGCATTTTTTCGATGCTCCTTTCTGTACTTCTGTCTTCTAACTAACTCCTTCTATCTTCCATACATTCATTTCTTTTGAATTTGTCCCACTACAGCTTTACAAATGTTATCTGTTACTACAAATATCTCTCCAACTTGCCCTATATTTGTTACTCAACTTTACAATTTGCTCCAACATTCATAGAATGCAACTAAATAATAGCTACCACAACAAATACTCTAATTACTACTAGTAGTGTACCACAGAAACTGAAAATAGAAAGTAGAAGGCGCAAAAAATCTGAAGTAAATGCTCTTCATGGTACCCTACTTGAAGTTGAAGAGAGAATAGTGGCAGCAATAGATCAATTCAGTATGAAAGAAAGGATTTAATAAGAAAAACTTGAATATTGAAATGAATATAATTAGTTATTTTTCTCATTGCGGAACAAATCTTCGTAACGAATGGGCCCTGATAAATGAACGACGCCGTTTATGCGGGATCTTTCTGGCTGTGATAATTTGATAGACCTCTCAACATGCCTTTGGTTGCTCTTGGTGTCGGTAACTCGAATAATGTGGAGAGTTAGATGACTGTGAGGAGAACCTCCAACAACTTTAGAGGAGGTTAAACAAGCTATCAAAGCACAAAGAAAAAACAAGATACCCAGTGTTGGCAACCTTCCCAAAGAGCTGTATAATCTAGGGAGCGAACACATAATTACTAAACTGCACTTATTATTATCCAAAATATGGAGACAAGAAAACACCCCAACCGATTTGAAAACAATACTCACTACTATGTACCGCCTACAACAGCAACTCATCACAGAAAACTTAATCTGCGAATACCAAGCTGGTTTTAGAATACGACGCTCCACAATCGATCAGCTAAAATAAATTCAGAGAAAGCTTGGGAACAAGACATAATGTATATAACATTTCATGGATTTCAAGCAGGCATATGACTTCATCAATAAGAAATGATTCTTCCAAATACTGGAAGAGTACTACACAGCTTCTGCACTTCTTCCAAATATATCCGGTTAATAAGGGCTACAATGGATTCAACAGTGGCCTAACATAACCGATAAACTCGCTAATAAATAAAGAAAATAAAGATATTAACATTATATCTGGCAGGACAGACGACACGGTATATGTATGTGTACTCACAACTTAAAAGAGAAACCAAGAACGTCTGTCTTAAAATAAATAAACAAAAGACGAAGATACTAATGCAAATGAGAACAAGAACAAGTGACGAGCTTTACGTAGCTGATTGTCAGACTCAATATAGAAGAATCGGAGGAACCAGAAACACAAAATAGACTAACGAAAAAATCATCATTAGACCTATACAGTGTTATGAATGCGGGACATGGGTTATGGACAGAAAAAAATAAGCTAGAAGTATTTGAAAGAAAAGTTCTGAGGCAAATATTTAGTCCAATAAAGGAAAATGAAATATAGAGAAAACAATCCAACGTGACAGTTTACAATATGTTCAAAGAAGCAATGTCTGAATTCGTCAGGTTACAAAGACTGCAATGGGCTGATCATATGATATGAATCAGCTAGGATAGAATGCAAAAAGGTTCTTAAACAGCAAAATGCAAGGCACGAGACGAAGAGAGAGGAAACGATGGGACGACGAAGTGATGGAGAACGCATAACGACTCATGAGCATTAGAACGGAAAGAAAGAAGAAAGTAACTGTTGATCGGCAGTGTTGGAGGCAAAAGATAAAGAAGGTCAAAGCTTAATTTGAGCTGTGGCGCCATTGGAGAGAGAGAAGATCAGAATTTTATACTTAAAATCGTCTAAATCGATAAAATGCTTAAAGATGGAATTGTGTAAGAGCCAGTGAAAGATATTTTTAAGATCTAAAGGTAAGACGGAATATGGTCGTCCACACCGCCTCTGCAGCTTGACTGCCGCATCGAATGTTTGTTAGCGTATTGAGTAGCACAACCTTTACTTAATAGAGAAGCTGTGAGACGGATCTAATCCCAGACTTCTCTTACCTAGATTGTTTTATCAGTTAAAAGTTTTTTATCTTTTAACTTTTTTACCACATAGCTCTTTCATGCATTTTCAAAATCCGGGGAAAACACGCTGTTGGCTGTTTGAATTGCCATTTTGCTGACATCATCATCGCAACTATTAGAATAGGCTTGCAACATGTCATGTAGACTCAAGAATGCAGAAAATGTTTCTCCATTCTTGAAAAATTTACTGACTTGATTACCATCTTAAGAAGACTTGCATTCGTAGGTATTAGTTTATCTATCTTTATTTAATTCTAATGTTATCTTCATTATTTTTATGACTGAGTTTCTTGATAGTTTTTTGGATGATTTTGTTTCAATGAAAGAAGGCACTGTTTGTAAAACGTTAGCAACTGGCTTAGTTAAAGCGAAACCAGATTACATTTTGCGTTCTGAAAGATACTAATTTTTACAAAGTTTTACACATGACATAATTGTTACCATAAATAATGGATAATATTTGATAGACAAACAAGAGGAATGCGCTGTATCATATTTTTACCAAATAAGGAAATTGTTGCAGATGTGGTCGGTAACAATGAGAGTAGCGACGAATAGTAACGAAGAAGATAAAAAGTAATAACGGCGAATATGAAAGTATTGCCGAGTCCAGGAACCTCATTCGTCATCGTGCACGAGCATACTTATTAAAATTTCCACCTCCATGTTTACAAAGTGAAATTGACTTAACAACAGATCATGTACAGCGAAGAGAGTAACTTAATGGCGGTTTTATACGAGTATTTTGGTTGTCGTTGTGTGAGTTAATTTTTGTGTTGTTATTTTTTAATTGGACTACTTGCAAGTTGCTTCGTGGAAACGAAAACTATTCTACTCATTTTAAAACAAATATTTTCACGTTAAGTGGTGTGGCATAAATGCGCTATTCAAAACGTGTCGTGATATGTACAATTCCTACAGCTAGGTCTTATATTTTTGTTAGTTTGTGACATGATCTGAACGAGTGTGGTTGTGCAGTTCTTTTTGATTAAATTGTATTAAGATGTTCTCCAAATATTATCCATACCAGTGTAGATGTTGTGGTTTTTCTGATGATGCATTTGTAGCTGCAGGAAAACAGTATGCGTTTTGTGAGTATCGAATCATTTTGATTCCATATCAAATTGATTACTTATTATAATTTCCTCCCTGTATTCCCGTTGTTGCTATTATTAGTATTCGGTCACTTCATAAGATATGCACAAAGGCATAAAGGGGACTAGCCCTTGGTCAAGCACTTCACACCCTCCGTAAGCTATCTGGATTAGCTAACTCGTTGGTAATGGGCAAAGTGGGCGCTTGTCTTTGATATTGGGGATTAGACGTTGAGTTTTCGATGACCGGTTGTACCCCCACGGTTCATTATTAATGTACTAATTTTCTAGGAAGGAATATAATGTTGAAACGTTAAAACCTAACTCCCTGGAGTTAACGCTAAATTATTGATTTTTAATGTTTTGTGTAACTTTATTTTTCTTTTTACTTCTAGATTCAGGTTCTGAAAGTGGTTCACATAAAGGTGGTGGTCAAAGGAAATCGAATGCGGCCGGTGGCGATGGAAAACCAACGCGCGTTCGAACTGTTCTCAATGAGAAACAATTACACACGTTGAGGACGTGTTACGCGGCGAATCCACGTCCAGATGCCCTCATGAAGGAGCAGCTGGTCGAGATGACCGGGTTGTCGCCGCGCGTTATTCGCGTCTGGTTCCAAAATAAACGGTGCAAAGATAAGAAAAAGACGATACTTATGAAACAACAAATGCAACAGGAAAAGGTTGGTACCATTGAAAGAAAGAAATATTTTTTATAACATTTCACATTGTTATTATTGACTTTCTCTAAAAATTGAGGTTATGTTGGTTATTTTTTTATTTTATTATCAATGTGTTAATACAATGTTGAAAATAGAATTGAAATCACATAGAAGGGGATTCACCTTTCGTTGTAGCTCAAAATTTTGTTTAATCGATATAACTCGTGAACTTATCAAGTTCATTTGATGTCAAAAATTAATCTTTACTTAGTTTTCCCACAACGATTTTTATTTCTGCGGTGAAGGCTTCTGGGTAGTGCCCAGAAAGACAGAAATTGAGTTGTGAAATACAATCAAAAACGAATGTTCGGCTCATATCTTTGCACAGTTCTATTAAAAATGTAACATACAATAGACTTGTACAGAAAAGTTAACTACAAGAACAAAAATGGAAATACGGTAACTGATGCAGATGTTATGGTAGAGGTGTGGAGCAAATATGTCAGAATGGATCAAGCAGAAGAAGTGCTAGAGATATTAAGATCTGAAATAAAAGATATCCATATCGCACATAAAATAAAACAAATTATCCGGAATAGATGGAACCTGCCGAGATCTTCAAAGCCATGGGAGGACTAAGAGTGGAAATTATGCACACTTAACCCAACGGAATATTGCAAATCATACCAGTTCATAAAAACTGGCTCACCAATAAATTGCAATAGTTACAGAATAGTTAATTTAATACTACATAGAAATAAGATATTATTCCACACAATTAATGAAAGGCTAAAAGCATTCATTCCGGACAAGGATGAAAAGGAACAAATAGTAACAACTGTAGAAAATACTAAAAGAAATGGGCACCCTAGATCATCTAGTCATGTTGATTTCAAATTTATATGCGCGAAACCATTGTATCAATACGAACGCAACCTTGTCTAAATCATTTAAAGATATCCTATGACCTATCCTATACAACATGTACAACGAATTTTTCATTAGACGTGTTCTTGATGATTAGAACGGGGGTGTCTCAGTAAGTTTAACAATTTGTGGTAGGTAGATGACAATCGCAACGAACGAGGAAGCACTAAATGAAATTATGACACGGCTAGGTTTAAAAATTAATGCTTCAAAAGCTATGGTAACGATAATAGAACACTTTATGTACCTAGATACTCTTACAACTGACATCGGTGGCTGCAGCTGAAATAAAAAGACGCTTAGAAAAGCTATTACTAGAAATACTTGCTTGCTAAGTCATTAATTTTTTCAATCGCCAAGTATGCATCTGAAACTCAGACCTTTTTAGATGTGGATCTTCAGATAGTTACTCAGAGCGTTATGGACGTTTCAATATTTAACGAAGTAAAGATAAAAGATAGATTGATAGATACATAGATCATACTTTAGCTATTTTGGACACCTAACGAAGCAACCCTTGCTGAAAAGCCTTATTGTACAAGGAAAAATTGAGGGCACTGGCTGAGAGGCCAGTTCCCTCAGCAACTCGATGCACCAAGCCATACAAATGACGCAGGACAGTAAATACTTAATATGACCAAAACTCTCTTCACTCTTTGGCCTACAACCACAAGTGAGACTCGTGGTAACAAATTTGTGCCATAGGCAAAAACTACGAGTCTGATCATGGTGAGGAGTTTTTTGTGAGGATCTTCTTGTTTACTATGGTTCGCGCAATTAGGATATAGCGCGTTTAGGATTCACTAAGGATGTGGAGAAGAATTCATTGGACGAGTTTTTATGAATCTTATCACATTCAAGCTGGATCCTTTGGTTCGTTTGACGCAAGCATTTCTCTATGAATCAACTCAATGGGGTCACAAAGCATTTCGTGATTTGCATCGAATAAAGGCTTGTAATCCTATAGAGATACTAATATATTTAGGCCAATTATTCTTTTAGATATGGATCTGAGCAGATCCTAAGCCTTAAGGTCCACATTTACCACCTCTTGATAAATTCATCCGATAGATAATTACCATGGTTACAGCGGTTTTAAGCGCTCTCATTGGCTAAGGCCCACTTTTACCACCTCTTGATAAATTTAACCGATAGATAAATTGGCGCTCTTAACCAATAAGAGCGTTTAAAACCGCTGTAACCATGGTAATTATCTATCAGATAAATTTATTAAGAGGTGGTAAAAGTGGGCCTAAGAGCGCCAATTTATCTATCGGTTAAATTTATCAAGAGGTGGTAAAAGTGGGCCTAAATCTTCTTTAATATTGCTAATATCTATAAACCACGTTTAAAATTTCAAATTCGACTTCTTTAATGTTTTCAATTAGCTAATTTTTGATATCTTTCGCCATATGTAGTATTCCCAACTAATTGTGTCATCAGATAAATCAATTTTAAAAGTAGTTTACCAGCAGATTCATCAATCATAATGTTTACTATATCTACAGCAGCCGATAGAATAAGTTACACACTTCACAGTTATACACTTTGTTGCCAAAACTTTCATGCACAATAGACATTGTGGTTTTCACACTCATGTCACTCGTTGAAGGCATACTTTCTTTATCTACACCATTAAAAGCACTATATTTACTTTTATTAGGTTTAAATTATAAGTTGAGGTTGACTGAGTTTAGCCAGCAAGTTTTGCTTATATACTTTCCGCAAAATCTTCTAGAACGGTGTTTCTCAATCAATTTAGATGTTGTATAATTTACTTCTTAATTTCTAGAGAATTCCAGAGAATACAAAATTCTTCCCAAAACAGTCGGCGAACCTCAGTATGAAGAAAAAGAATTTTGTGAATACTGCCCATTTCTTGAGACAATGATGAGAATAGTCTTGAATTCGTGTAATGGAATTTGAAAAAACTGAATCATCCAAAACGTGTTTCATATTAGTAAGAAGGGATTTCGGTGCAAGGACTTGTTGATGAATGTAACAAGGTGTCCACTTTACCAAGAAATCTACTGCTTTGATACATCCAAAGAGACCAATCTGACATAGACTTGCAGTACTTAAATCACAGATTAAAATTAAACAGTTTATTCCCCTTTTAGTAAACTATGAAACTGGTATGAAAAATATCTGCACGTTCAGAAAGAAGTTGATAAAGCAAAGTCTTTCTACAAATTCACTTCTTCATCCTATCAAAACAGCAAATTGTGGTACATAAAATATTTATTGTTATTGATTTCTTTTATTGACTCACACTAAAATTTTCTAACTGATGCGATAAGAAGTTTCAACAGCATCTTCATTAGTACAATTGGAAAAGGTTTATGCAAATTATAATCAACCTGACAACTAACAATGCGATTATGTGTTGCTTATTTACTTAATAATATAGGATAGAAGAGATGAGTCGCTCAACCACGAGATAAATATAATAACTCAATGCGAATACACTAAATTGTTACATTTCTCTTAGTATGTATTTCCCTTGGGATACGCGTACCACAAGTTGTTCTAAAACATTACAAATCTGTTCCACATCTTTATGACTGGTGTTTTCGTTTTTTGTAGTCTCAAAAAAATATTTCTCCAATAATTTCAAGGAATATGAAAAAAAACATACACATTATCAAAAAAACTCGATAAAATCCTTTCCAGATTTCAAGTGAAACTTTTTTCTCTTTTGATCTTTATTCAATTTCCCGCAAACGACCACCGACCACGTATCCTCCCCTCTATCCCCCTCCACGCAATCGATTTTATACAAATCCAGGCAAAATTAAAAGCAGCCACGGGCCAAACGATTGCTGGCCGCGCAATATCCATTATTCGCAACGGCTGGATTCATCTCCCTCCTTCCCTCCTTTCTCCTCGTCTAACCCCCCCTCTTAACTATCCCACGCCCACCGAATCCCCGACCAATCGAAGCGTAGCAGCCGGATCGCACCTCACAGGAATATTATTTTATACGTACGGAAATGGTGGGGGAAAACGAGAAAAGACTCCCCACCCAGGAGTAATCACGCTCACTTTCCCCCCTCCCACTTCGCCGCCCCGCCACTGCGATGCGAAAACAAGTTTTGAACGTTTCGTTTTTTTTTCCGTCCACCTCCCTGTTTGCCTCTGCCGCCGCCGATTGAGAGTCCAAAGCCTTCTTGGCGAATTGCTTTTTTTTTCCTCGACTACTTTTTTCTTTATATTTCGATGGATGGAAATACTGTGATGTTTTATAGTGGGCGATTTCTTTCGGAAAAAATGATATGAACGAAATGTCAAATGTTAGGATTTTGATGTTTGTTGAAAAAAAAAATTTAGATCAATAGAACAAATTTAAGTGAATAAATCTGGTTGGTTGGAGGAATGTTGTTGTTGGGTTGGGTTGGAATGTTGATATCGATTAACTTTCAATTGTTATCTTAACAATTTCTTACGGACATTCAAAAAAAGTTGTAAAAAAGAAATGTTTTATTAAGGTTATAGAATAAATTTTATAAAAGTAAGGTGTTTTTAGGTATCTATAACAGTGCGGCTACAGATTTTTTTCGGATGCAAGCGCAGAATCAAACAATTTTGGAGGGAGCAATATGTATCACGCGAACATTTTAACTTGGCAGAGGTGTTCTGTTATAGGAGACGCCACGAGAGCTGGCACTAAATCATCGTTTTCCGCTCTTATAAATACCATACGTAATTCACAAACCGCTAGAGAGTAAGGTGTACTAGAAAGAGATAGCATTCGTTTAATATGTCTGCTGTACGATTCAAATGGCCACGTCGAAAACGTACGTCTGTTCTTCTAGGGGATGTAACTGTATAATTATAACCTCAAATCGAAACGTCTTGTAAGCGTTGTCATGAATCTGTTAATGTTTTCACAAGCCGAAAATGTTTTCTTTGAAAGGAAAATTATTAAATAATATCTTTGACAATGTTTAACATTTAACATAACCTACGTTTAAATGTATGTGGCGAAATAATCTAAGTCGTACGTCCATATCTTGATTCATACCATTTTTAAGCGATCTTTCACTGCCAGCTCTCGTGGTTTCTACTATAATAAAGATTTACTTGGTACATATTCATATCTTATTATGCAAACTGACAAATTTTGTTTGGCAATAAGAGAAATGAAAACCATAAAAAATAATTGCGAGAAATCATTTAAACCAGGAGTCAAAAATTTTTTTTTACTACAAACATACCAATCTCATTCAAATTCCAGTAAAATCATTATCAGAAATTACTGAAAATGGCTTTATCATATAAAAAGATTTAGACTTGGTAATGATTTCGATAACTAAAATGTTGCTCATCAACATATCATTTGCGAATCACTCCATCAACATATTTCATATTAACATTTAATGCAAAATGCAACAAAAATTAAAATATAACCAATACAGTGTAATATCTCGGCCGAAAGCGACTTGTACTTGGTTCTTTGGATCCATAGTTTCCGCTGATTAACAATGATTTACAGTGATTCACATTTTATTCCAAAGGTGATCAACACATTGCAGCGCCTCAGCCGCTAAGGACCTTTGCTTGGTTCCTTAGATCCATGATTTGTCTTGGTTAAGCAGAGGTCACTTGCACCCGAGGTTTTATAATGATAACTATGTTATTCAAAATGAGGTCAACACAATGTAGTGGAAATTGTGATACTAATTAGTCAATACTTTTGAATTCGTTTATTTCTCACTGAAATAAGATTCTTCTAAAAGATAGGTTAGGAGTTTCGGATAAATTAACATTCATTTGACTTGGAAATAAAAGCAAGCGCTATAGCATTCCTTATTTAAAGCCATTGGCCTTAGTAAAACACAACTAACCTGCACGAATCTATGTGGGTTTATGCAATGTCCATAACAATTCCTACTTTGGAGTTATTCACAAAACTAACTTTACCCCACATTTGTACTTGGGACTCTTTATCTTTAGTAAACATAAATGGTCTCTCCTAATCTATACTTACGCATAAATTGCACAATTCTGTCATTTGTTATTCAAAAAGACATAATTTAGTTTATGGCTTTATATTTATATACATATACAACATATTATATTGATTAACATGTTATTCAAAGTATCACCAATACAATGTAATGTCTCGGCCGAAAGCGACTTCGACTTTGTTCTTTGGATCCATAGTTTCCCTTATTTTATTCCAAAGGTGATCAACACATTGTAGCCCCTCAGCTGCTAAGGACCTCTGTTTGGTTCCTTAGATCCATGATTTGTCTTGGTTAAGCAGAGGTCGCTTGCACCCGAGGTTTTATAATGATAACTATGTTATTTAAAATGAGGTCAACACAATGTAGTGGGAATTGTGATACTAATTAATCAATACTCTGGAATTCGTTTACTTTTCACTGAAATAAGATTCTTCTAAGAGATAGGTTAGGAGTTTCGGATAAATTGACATTCAAGTGCTACAGCATTCCTTATTTAAAGCCATTAGCCTTAGTAAAACATAACTAACATCAACAAATCTATGTGGGATTATGCAATGTCCATAACATTTCCTAACAATTCCTACTAACATTACCTAACATTTCTAGGAACTCTTTATCTTTAGTAAACATGAGTGGTTTTGCAAATCTATACTTACGCATAAATTACACAACAGTTTCTATCATTTGGCTTTATATTTATACACATATACAACTTATTGGGAGTTATTGAAAATGTTACTAGAAATTCGAAAAAACAACATAAATTTTATAAAAACCTGAGATTTGCATATTTCTATCGACATTATGTTTGATCTCCTTCAGTCTATCTATTCTTGTGCGCATCGTTTTTTACCTTCCATACTTTCAACAGCTGCCGATATAGACTAACAAATTCGTTCTAAATTTTTTTGTTATTTACAAAGTTTGCCAGTGTATATTTAAGAAGCTGTTCATATTGCACAACGTGCCCTTCAAACTCCATACGCCAGTCGTTGTATTCCAAATAATTTCGAATTTCTGCATTTCTACCTGCTTATTGTATCAAGCAACACTATATTATATTGTATAGTTTTTACACAATAACTTTTCTCGTGGCAGTTGTTTGAAGGTATAAGTGGCCTTGTAAATAATTTTGTTAATATGGGAGTCATTGATTTTTGCAAACAACATCAAGCTAAGCCAATGGTTCTACCTGGAGGGTCATTAACCTTAGTAAATATAATTGCCCTTTCCCAATATATCTGGTTGCGTAGTCTCCATAACTTAGTCCAACATTTCTTACCTGAGCGCCACTGACCTTAATATATAAAACTAACCTCACCGAACATTTCTACCTAGGAATGATGAAGCTAACTAAACATAACTGTTCTTTCCTAATATATTGGCGTTGCAAAACCCCATAACATTGCATAACATTTTTTAATGTTTGGGAAATTAAAATGAAACTTTTAAAGTCTTTGTTTGCTTCATATTAAATGTACTTGGTACCGGTTACTTTTTCGATAGATTTGGCTGATGATGATCGATGTTATTTGATCGAAACCGGTACTAAGTACATTTAATATAAAACAAACAGAGGCTTTCGAAGTTTCATTTTAATTTCCGAAACATTACTATTTGGCCTTTGCGACATGGACCTTTTCAAATAACATTTTTTGACCAAATAACATGAACCTGAATGTTATTGAGTTTGGTAAAAGAATTAACCTTACTCAACATGGGAGTGATTAACCTAAGTAAACATAACTGTCCTTTCCCAATATATTTGGCATTCCCACCCATCTTCCTATGTCTTGGATTTTGCATTGTTGTCTGATATCTCGTTATGTATTCTGTCGTATAGAGTTTTGCCTTGTATACTTCTTATTGTTAGTGTTTTTATCTCAACTGTTGTTATCATTTCTAGAATTATGCTTGTATCTGGTCTTGTCACTGCTACGTATGCTATGATGAGTATATAGGCGTTTTATATATATCTTGATTGAGCTTTCGGCATGAAGATATTTGTTCTTCCAAATAATCTCGAAATTCGAGTGCTTTTATTGTTTGCTCTTTGACTTCGTTAAAAAGATTTCCATAACTCGTTATTTCTGTCCACAAATATTTGAAGCCATTCATCTATTGGACAGTTTTGGAATCGATCTCCAACTAACCAGTCTGCGTTGTTTAATTTGTAAATCCTTGTAAAGTGTGAAAACAGAGTTATGTTCTCCAATAACAACCTCAGTGAAAGCCAAACTTAGGATAACTTAGGATTAGTCTTATTCCTAGATTCTCGGATATCATTAAAGATAATCCAGGTTTTGACGGCGCTCATCAAGATACATAAGTTATACAGGCTGATTCTCAACCTACACCCATAAACTTGGGGATTTATTCCTCATGATAAATAATGAGTAATAGGTGTCCTTGCTCATTATTAACTTCCTCAGCTGCAATGTTAATGCCTGTGCTAACCACTGTATGCCATCCTGAGTATCAGCCAAGAGGACGGCATCATCTGCATAGCACTCAATCTTGATTTTGTACTTTGTAATTCTTTATCCTTACTTTGTCGAACGTTTTGGTTAGATCAACGAAACAGTCTTTTCGCCCGAGTACTATCTGATTCTTTTTGATGCTCTCAACATTGTGTGATCCGTACATGTCATTCTTCATCTCGTTACTAAATTTCGCGCATTTGTGTAGGCAACTCTTGCAATCAAGAGGATATGAGCAAATGACAAATGCATGTAAACATTTTTTTGCAGAAGATGAAATAAGTATGGTGGTATCACTTCTAAACAGATGAGATAGTTTGGTATTGCCGTGTAAGATGATTTCTAGAACTACCTTGACCTGTCCATCTTCCGGGAAGCACCTTATCTAGATGTCGCCGCATATATCGGATATCTAGGAAATGTAGGAATTAGCCATTATTTGTCTCCCCAAGTTTATGCGTATAGGTTGAGAATCACCCTGTATGCTGCACCAATGAGAATTTTTACATTAAACAACAATTTGTTATAACCAACCTAATCGTTTAGGAAAATGATTTACATTGATTATTTTTGTTATAAATTTTTGTTGTGAATTATTATTGAGTCTAACAGAACATAGTTTTTTGCGCAGGACGGCAGAAAGTTGGGTTACGGTGCGATGCAGGGCATCCCGATGGTGGCGTCCTCACCGGTCCGTCACGATTCGCCGTTGGGTGTCCACCCCCTCGAAGTTCAAGCGTACCAACCCCCGTGGAAAGCCTTATCTGATTATGCCTTACATGCGGATCTAGATCAACCGCACGCACCCGCCTTTCAACAATTAGTTAATCAGGTAAAAAAGCTAGTATTTTTATATTATTTATAGAAAAATTAGGTTAATTAATTTAATTACTTAACCGATTTCAATTTTTCCGAATCATCATCAGGATCAATTAATTTTTGATTAATTTTTTTGGTTTATTAGATGCATGGTTATGATTTGCCACCACCAAATATGGGTCCCGGACCGGCACAAGGGCCACCTCCAGGAATGATACCACCATCTGGTTTACCATCGGACGCGATGACTCACCCGGATAGTACAGATAGTTATGTGACCTTTGACAGTGACGAAAGCATCCCCGGTAGTCCTTAACACTTCAAAATTGAAATCGATTACCTCGAGTCCGCTTAATTAAAAGAGAGAAAAAATGATACAAAAAACTATTTGACAAATTTTTAAAAAAACTTTTGAAAAATAAGAAACCGAAGAGATTTTTTTTAGTGCAATAAAAAAATATTCGCCATCTTTTTTGATTTTATATAAGAAATTGAAAATGTAAAACCATAAAATGACTCAATATCATTAAAGAAAGAAACAATTTGTTTTTAATGATAATAATAATTAATTAAACTTAATTATTATTATTATTTAATTAACTTATTGGAATAATGTAATTATTATTGTTATTAAATTATTAATTTATACATCCAACACTTATTCATATGATCTTTTTACAATAATTATTTAAAAAAAAAGATGAATAATCTATTGTAAAATTGTAGAGATTTTGCGTGTACATTTGTAACATAATGTAATATTTTTCTTGTACAATTTTGTTATTTTAATAATATAACGAGAACGGTAATCGCGAGTTGGAGTTTTGTTTCTCATTCGATGACAAAAAGATAAATAAATAAAGCGGATCAAAAAAAGAAAATCTTTGTCATCGAACGTCATTTTATTATTTTTTTTTGTTTATTACAGCCATTGAGTATTTTTTGTAATTATTATTATTATTGCAATTTTATTATTGATAATAATTCGAATTTACAGTCATTTGTATTATCACATAATTTATTATTGCGCAACAACCTGATGATTTTTGTAAGAAACAAAAAAAAACTATATTATTATTGTATTTGATTGATAAGAAAAGAATAATAATAAAAGCGTGGATGAATGTGTACATACAATGTTATAGATATATTACTTTGTAAATAAATTTGAAATTAACCATAGAAATTTGAAGTTTTTTTTCTTCAAATTAAAATTAATTTGAACTTCAACTAATATTAGACCTAAAACTAGCTACACTACATCGACTACAAACTACATCGACTTTGCTGCGACTTGGTCAGTATTGCCATCTGCTAAATCCTGACTTTGGGCTGTCCACTAAAACCCTAGTTCTTTATGAAATAATTCTTCTTGATTCGCAACTTTAGATTACTTGCAACTTTTTCTTGGCTTTTTTTGCTTTGAACATTGCTGAATGTTTAATTTGTATTAAAGGTGAAGTAAACATTCAAAGAAGCGAATCCAAGCATATAACGACGACAAACCGAACTGATATCTAGATTTATCTATAACTTTTGTCTTTAGTACTTTATCAATGTTATTAAAGTGTTTTGAGGTTACACCACTGTTAGAAAAGTTAGGCAACTTAATATACAAAATATGTGTAACGAAAAAGAAATGAGACACAGAGTTTACTGTTAAAAGCTGTTAAAAGTTCTTGTTAATAAATTAATGTAAAACATTCTAGTAAGAATAAAGTGTTTAGTTCGAACGCCAAACTTTCATTTAGAAGCAAAGTCTCATCAGGTTATGGGCCCAGATTACGGCAGCTCGTACGGAAAATAACCCAAAACGGAAAAATATATTTTGAGGTTAGGTAGAAGTAAAGTTGGCGGGAAAAGAACATGGATCTAGAAAAAGGAAGACATCCGTTGTTCGACGGAACAAATTTCGATAATTGGAAATTTCGGGTAATGGTTTTATTGGAAGAAAAAGAATGTATAAACAATTTAAAGGAAATGCCTGCAGAGTATAAGGTTGGAATTAATGATACAGTAGATGAAAAGACGAGAAAAGAAAAGGAAATTGAAAAATGGTTAAAAATGGATAGAAAATGTAAGTCATTAATCACTCAATTGGTAGCTGATAGTCATCTCGAGTATATAAAAGACAAAAGTACGGCACATGAGATGTGGAAATCATTAACACTTAATTTTGAACAGAAAGGAATAGCTAATCAGTTATTGTTAAGAAAAAAATTACTAACTATGAAGCTTGATCCCGCATGTAAAACTATGGACGATCATTTCATGGAATTTGATAAAATCGTAAGGGAACTTAAGTCTACGGGAGCCACGTTAGAAGAATTGGATATTGTATGTCATCTTCTACTTACGATGCCAGCGGATTATGGTGTGGTGGTTATAGCGTTAGAAACACTCTCTCCGGAGAACCTTAGCTTGAGTTTTGTCAAAACTCGTTTGAAAGATGAAGAAAACATCTACAGAACAAAATGGTAAAACGGAAACGCAACCAGTTGCATTTGCGACACCAGCAAATAAAAACAAATTTAAGTCAAATGAAATTAAGAAAAGCTTTCCATACAAATGTCATCATTGTGGCAAAGTCGGACACAAAAAGATTGATTGTTGGAAATTAAAGAATGAACGAACAACAAAGGCAGCAAATGTTGCGGACACTGAAGAAGTGCCATATAGTTTTTCGGCACACACTGATGGAATGAATCTAAACTGGTGTCTGGATTCGGGAGCATCAGAACATTTGGTTAAAGGAGAAAAGAATTTAAAGGACATAAGAAACCTAAAGAAAGATGTAAGAATCAAAGTAGCCAAGACAGGTGAGGAATTGATATCTAAAAGAATGGGCGATTTAAACGTAATATCAATGGTAAGTGATCAAAAACATAAAATAACTATCAAAGATTGTTTGATCGTACCGGGGTTGGATATTAACTTATTATCAGTACGTAAATTAGAAATGAGTAATTTTACTGTAGTATTTGAAAAAGGAACAGGAAAAGTTATTAAAAATAACAAAATAGTTGCTATGGCAACCAGAACGAATAAGCTGTATGAACTTGATTTTATAAGTGAAAAAGAATATGGTTTAGTAACGATGCTGAATAAATCTGAAGTTGAACTGTGGCACAGAAGGTTGGGACATATTAGCAATTCAAATTTAGAGAAATTGAACAAGTTGGTAAATGGATTGAATTGTAAACCAAATGCAAAACTAAGTTTCTGTGAGACATGCGTAAAAGGTAAACAAACGAAACTGCCTCATAAACATGAAAGGTATAGAGCAAAAAGACCGTTGCAATTGATTCATAGCGATTTATTTGGTCCTATAAAAGAGTCACACGATAATAAGAAATATGTATTAACATTTATAGATGATTTCACTCACTGTAGCGTATGCATTGAAAGCTAAAAGTGAAACGTTTAATTATTTCAAGAAGTATGAGTCAATGGCTAAAGCGCATTTTAATTCTTCAATTAGCCGTTTTCGTTGTGACAATGGTCGAGAATACATATCAAATGAAATGAAAGAACATTTTGAAAAGCAAGGTATTCAGTTTGAATTTACGGTAAGGTATACACCAGAACAGAATGGTGTTGCAGAGCGGATGAACCGCACAATTATAGAAAAAGCGAGATGTATGTTGCTGGATACTGATTTGGAAAAGGGTTTTTGCACTGAAGCGGTTCGCTCAGCAGTTTATTTGATAAATAGATCACCTACAACTGCATTAGAAAAGGTTGTACCATCTGAATTGTGGTATGGACATAAGCCAAATCTAGACAAACTTCAGGTATTTGGTTGCACTGGTTATTTAAAAATCCCATCTGAATTAGTAGAGAGTAAATTTGCAAGTAAATCCCTGAAAGTATTTATGATAGGTTACTGTCCAAATGGATATCGGTTATATTGTCCGAGTAACAAGAAAATATATACTGGAAGAGATGTAATATTCAATGAATTTAAATACAATTTTGATACACAAAAATTAATTGTAAATGTTGACAAAGATGAAGTAAGTTCAGATGACGGCGAACAGGAAAGAATAATAGAAGAAAACATAGAACAGAAGATCGCAATAAAAGAGAACACCGAAACAGAAACAGAAGAAATTACAAGAGAGGAAGAACGAAAAGAAGCACGCCAAAGGAGAAGACCTAAATATCTAGATGACTATGCAGTGTACGCATTGAATGCTGAAACATTTGTACATGAAGCTCCACAAGATTATGAAGAGATCGAAAATAGAGAAGATAAGAAACATTGGTTGGAAGCTGTTGATGAAGAGTTAAAATCTTTAAAAACAAATAATACATGGACGTTACAAGAATTACCAGATAATAAGAGAGCAATTGAAAGTAAATGGGTGTTTAAAGTAAAGAAGAATGAAAAGGATGAACCAGTAAGACACAAGGCTAGACTCGTTATCAAGGGATGTTCTCAACGGAAGGGATATGATTACAATGAAACATATGCGCCTGTTGCACGTTTGACAACCGTTAGAACATTATTGTCAATAATTAGTACTCATAATCTGTTTGCATACCAATTGGATGTGAGAAATGCGTTTCTGCATGGCGATTTGGAAGAAGAAATTTATATGAAAATTCCACAAGGAATAACTGAAAATTCGAATATGGTATGCAAACTTAACAAGACGTTGTATGGGTTAAAGCAGGCACCGAGAACCTGGAATGAGAAGTTTAATAATTTTATAGCGACACAGGGATTTAAAAGATCTCAAAACGATTTCTGTTTGTACACAAACTTAAAAGAAAAGGTTTATTTATTGTTGTATGTGGATGACATTATAATTGCAGGTCACAAGAAAGATTTTATACAACAAACAATAAAAAATATGAAAGACAATTTCCAAATGACAGAATTGGGAAAATTAAACTTCTTCTTGGGAATAAAAATACAAGAAACAACGAGAGGATTGTTTTTGTCACAATCGTCTTATTCAAGGTCACTTTTAAGAAAATTTAATATGGAAGAGTGCAAACCATCAAAAACGCCAATTGACGCAAAATTGTATGATGAAAATACTGAAGGTACGTGTATTGTGGATGAAAAGCCTTATAGGCAATTGATTGGCTGTCTGATGTATTTAATGCTAACAACAAGACCTGACTTGAGTGTAGCGGTAAATTATTATAGCCGCTACCAAAGTAATGCAACTGAAGAACAATGGCGGGGATTGAAACGAATACTTCGATACATAAAGGGAACATTGGATTATGGATTGTTTTACGAACGATCAAATAAAAAGGAAGTGTTGGTTTCATATGCAGATGCCAATTGGGCGACTGATAGGGATAGAAAGTCAACGAGTGGATATATAATTGAAGTTTATGGAGCAGTGGTTCACTGGACAACTAGAAAACAAACGTCGGTGGCTTTGTCGTCGACAGAAGCCGAATATGTGGCCCTGGCTACGGCTGCTACTGAACTTATTTGGTTGAAAGAATTGTTAGACGACATGGGGGTTAAGATTGAGATTCCTGTTGTAATGTTTGAAGATAATCAGTCTGTTATCTACTTGTTGGACAAATGGGAGCATAAGCGATTGAAGCATGTTGATGTTAAGTACAATTTTGTGCGGGATTTGTATGAATCCCGCACAATGTATGAATGGGATTGTTGATGTAAAGTATGTTCCAACAGATAATCAAAAGGCGGACATTATGACAAAAGGTCTGAGTCACGGTAAATTTGTAGAATTCCGAACGTCTTTAAATATTGTGAATTCTTTTTGAATATATAAGTTGTGGGGGGGTGTTAGAAAAGTTAGGCAACTTAATATACAAAATATGTGTAACGAAAAAGAAATGTAGCATTAATTTAATTTGATTTTAAAACGCCATCTATTAGTTTGTAAATTAATTATTACCCGGCATGCTTTGCGTCCGTGTACGTGACAGTCAGTAGTATTATTATGTTGTTTTATGATAGTAGTTGTAAGTTTTGTATTAGGCGTGGAATAAATCAATATTCGAAGAAATAATCTTTAAATGCACACTTAACCCTAATAAGAAGCTCCCCAAGTCTTACAGAAATGAGACACAGAGTTTACTGTTAAAAGCTGTTAAAAGTTCTTGTTAATAAATTAATGTAAAACATTCTAGTAAGAATAAAGTGTTCACAAACATAACACTTCTGTGCCTATCGATTTTCAGGATCGAGTTTGTGTTGTATGCAAATTACTAATTTGATTTTTGATGTGTTCCATTTCCATCATAGAAAGCTTTGCTGTTTCGTAGCTAAATTGTATCCGGATAGGTCTACAAAAACGTGTAGAGGAAGGTCTGGGATTTTGCTAAATGACTACTTTGTTTTAAGGATAGCAAATTTCTGTTTATATTGGTTCATCCCAGAACTGCCATGAAACCCCTATTTTGTTATCAAATGAGATTGTTATGACTTTTTGCTGTATTTCTCATAACATTGTACTGACATGCTTCTACAAACAGCGATAATGCTTCGTCTCCAGAAAGTGGACATACTTTTAAGTTAGCCAAAGAAAACTGAGGATTTTGCAATAAGTCTTATTACAAAGTAGTAAATCTTATTGTGTTCCGTGTATTTTCAAAAATACTACATAGGTACTATGTATTTCCTTCAATTTAGATATACAAACAAATGTAAAGTTAATAATTGTTGATTTTGATTGTTATTAAGCAAGAGTACCAATTTTTGAATATTGTTTAAAACAACGCAATTTGTTCAGACAGACATTCATCTTATTTATGATTTTTCTTATGAAAATCATAATAGTTATTTATATTACAAGTGGGCTAAAAACATAATTACTGTACGAGTGTGGAGAAGCCCACGTGTGATATACAACATTTTATCTACGACTGCTAAAAATTACTTAAAAATCAATTTCTTTAAAAATATCTATATTGACATTAATAAAAATATTTTGAAATGATTGTTTACAATTATTAATGTCAGTTTCAATAACATTCATTTAAAATCGAAGCGACAAGCTACAAATAATTAACTCAATACTAGGACAACCAGTCATTTGTTGTAAACAATCTTTTAATTTTTTTATTTGTATCAATTTGGTCAAAGAAAAAATGAGCGACTCAGAAAGCTGTCCTTCTGACGTGGAGGAAGCCGCAACGAATGCAGTTTCATCATTACTGCCAGAAAAGTCGCGAAAAAATATGAACAATCTTATGAACGCTTTATTCAGTGGTGTAATCGGAAGAGTGTAAAAAACGAAACAAGTGAGAAAGTTTTACTGGCGTACTTCGGAAATATGTCCAAAAAGTACAAATAGTCAAGTCTTTGGGCTTTTTATTCGATGTTACGAGCAGTAATATCTATGAAAAAGAATGTTGACATTAGCAAGTATACTCAATTAGTCGCTTTTTTAAAAAGACAAGGTAAGATGTATAAACCGAAAAAGTCTAAGGTATTGTCGAAAACCAACATAGAAAAATTTCTAAGAGAAGCGGACGATGTAAGTTTTTTACTGGCTAAGGTAAGTTGCTTAAGCTATTTCAATATTCGCTTCATCAACTAACTGAATTTGTAAAATTCTTTTTCAGGTTGTGTTGATTATAGGAATTGCTGGAGCGTGTCGCAAACAAGAGCTGGCCGATTTGGTTTTAGGAGATGTTAAGGATGATGGCCAAGTATTTTGTATTAACATTCCGTACATAAAAACCAATGTTTCGCGTGAATTTTATATAATGCCTGGAGGTTTTGAAGGAATAAATATGGTCGAAATAATTCGAAAATATAAGCACTTACGCCCCCAACACGCCGATCACGAAGGATTCTTCGTTGGATACAGAAATAAATACCTTTGGTAGTATGCCATAAAAAATTGCATTATTTTTAAAATTTGAAAATCCTGAAGAATACACGGGGGACATTGCTTCAGACGATCATCAACATCTTTGTTGGCGGATACGGGAGCAGATCTGTTAACTGTTAAACGACATGGCGGATGGAAATCCAACACTGTTGCAGAGGGATATATAGATACTTCATTGGAAAATAAAAAACAAGTAGCTCAGAAAATATTAGGTGAACAACGTACAAGAAGTAAGGACAACAGCAATCAACCTGTAGAAATAACAACTAAAAATTCAGCAACCTCATCTGGAGTAAGTGTTTCGAAATGTAAAAACATTACAATTAATGTTTATAATAAATAGTATTGTTTTTCTTTAAATAGGTAGCACTTTTTCTTTTGTATTGTTGCTCGTTTCAATAAATTAAGTCTGTTCTGATTAGGCTAAAAATGCGTTACGTAATGAAACCAGTGCGGTAATGAACTTCATTACGTAACTCAAATCACCTCAAATGAGTGCGGTAATGATGACTTATCCAAGCAGTCGTAGATAAAAGGTTTTTTTAATAAAGAATAAATCATGAAAGAACACCATGAAGTTGTCCATTGGTCTATTATATGATAACTACCTTCAGATTTAAAATGTCAACCTCAATTTTGACATATTTGTAATCTTCATTAAAAATCCTTTAAAATGAGTACAAACACGACATATTTATCTTCAATATTAATGAAGTTATGGTCAACTTTCGGTTACAAATGTTACGTCAATTTTGACATATTTGTAATCGTCCTGAAAAATTCTTTAAAATGAGCCCAAACATGATACTTTTAATTCCAATATTAGTCGAGATATAAGCAACTTCCGGTTTGAAATGTCAATGTCATTTTGACAAATTCTTAATTTTTATAAAATGTCTTAAAATTTATCACAAAAACAAAAATACAATAAAAAAAATTAAAAATTAAGATTGGTATTAATATTTAATAATTAAATTGCTATCTTCATAGTTGCTAAGTTCAGGTTTAACGTTTTTTATTCAAACTTTTTTGTTTTTTGAGATAAATGCGTCAAGTTTAGACTCATTTTAAAGGTTATTTTATGAAGATTACGAATATAATAATAAAATTAAAGTTGACATTGACAACTGAAAGTTTTTTTCACGAATAAACCCGACTGTTTCTAGTTCTAGGTCTTGAGTTAGTTCTAGTGATAGTGCTAGTGTAAAACTAGAACTAACACTAGACCTAGAACTAGAAATATTCGGGTTTAGCTGTATCTTCAGACTTTTCTAAGTTCTTGTCTAAGACGCCCGGCTAAACCTAAAACTTTCTAGTGCTAGGTCTAGTCAGTGTTGCCACACAGAGGACGCTGTACTCTACTTGAAAACGAAAATTACCGTATTACTTTATTTTAAATATAACAAAATAACGTAGCTTTTAACGATCTTGTTGAAACTACATTTCTTTGTAGATATTGAGGATTTGTATAGGAAATACAAATACCATACCAAAGTATGATTTTTTTAAACAACGTGCTCTTTTACAAAAGGAAAACAGGCAATAATATTTTTTATGAGAAGAAAAATGGCAAGTGTTGTACTATTTGGGAATCTTGGCTAAACAGGTCATCTTTTAAAATTACTTACCATGGGTGCTTTAGTACTCCTTTTTTAGAAATGGTGTGTCAAAGTTAATAGAGATAAGTTTTTTCAATTTTTTTAACTCAATCAAGCTAATATTTTTTCCGCAAAACTACCGAGTTTTGTTGTTTGATTTGTGACTTCTATAGTAGCATGGTTAATAAGGATTAATTACATTATTAAAAAAATTACTATTAAATTGTAAACATTTCTGGCCGTGGTAGGTACCTACTTAAAGATATGATCAAAAATACACTTAACTAAGAGACATGGATTTTTTTCTTATTTCTACCAAAACAGGTATGGGTTGGCCTTTCGCGCGGCACCCGCTTGACGTTCAGTTTCGGGACACCTGTATATATCGGGTCACAACTGGAATATTATACAATTTGAACACAGAATCAGAATAGAAGAAGAATAGACAAATATACAAGAATATTATACGCCAATATAACCAACGAAAATATTGTGTGCTCATTGGTTATGTTACAATGTGGTGCCTTGTATATTGATTGAACAGCATTTTACGCCACCCGTTACAACGCCATTCTGCGTACAGTACGTATTTTCTTAAATTAAATTACAGATTTCTAAATTGCCGTACATTTTAGTACGGTATTCCCCTTTGGACCGTACATCGTACATTTAGTGGAATTATCGTACGTGTACGGTAATTACCGTACGTATGGCAACATTGGGTCTAGTGTTAGTTCTAGTTTTAATTGTTATTTAACCCTAAATTCTTGTACATTTTAATTGATCTAAAATATTTTTTTTTTGATTTAATCCACTTACCTTGCTTATAATTTCATCCATTTACATTTACATTGTTTTAGTTTTTCATGAAAAAAACTTAAATTCAACGTCAATTTTGACAAGCAACTGCAATATTTGGATCTTAATCACCATGGTAACCGAGTCAAGTTGGATAACCTTAAAATAATAAAATTTTATTCCGATTTTTTTATCAATTCTAACATAATTTTTATTAATTTTAAAACAATTTGAATTCTTTACGATTATCTCGCATTCATAACAAATTCGTTAATTATAGTTAATTTAAATCTACTCTAATTAAGAGAAATAAATTAAAAATATCTTTTTTTGATTAATCCACTTACCTTGTTTATAACACCCTAGATAAACCAATTTTGAGTTAAACACAGCCTTTTAAACCAATTAAATAAGACTTTTTCCTTAAAAAAACTTACATTCAATTTCAATTTTGACAAGCACCTACAATCATAGAAAATAGAATCATGGTGTGCAATCTTACTACTATAAAAATGTAGACCGAGATTTAGTACCCTCACAATCCACTGGATGACGTTGTAAACTGAATTTGCAGCAATCTGCATTATCAACACAAACAAAGCGCTTGTAACCATAGAAAAATTTATGTATAACGTCAAACTCAGAGGTGAAAGCAAACGTCACATTTTTGTTTTGTCGTTTAGTGTAATAATTGGCGATAACCCCGTTGTATAAGCAAATTTTCTTCCTTACGTTCTTTTGGTTTAGTGTTGTATATCCTTTAGTTAAGTATTTAAATAAGTTAGGGCCACTTTCACCACCTCTTGATAAGTTTATCCAATAGATAAATTGGCGCTTTGCCAATGAGAGCAATATACGTTAAAAATTATGAATATTATCTTGGAAAAACTTTAAATTCATATTTTTTCCTATTTATTTGGAAAATGCACTTGACCTCTTCAAAATAAAGTAATGGTATAAACCGGTATAGACCTATATTTAAATTTCGCGCTTTAACCTAATTAGTTCCCTCACAATCCCCTTGGGAGCGTTTGTACCAAAAAATAGTGGGGAGATAACCTTCTATATACATAATATATATACATTTTTCTATGAATAGAATGCAACTCTCTAAAACAAAAACTGCGTACTAAAAATTGAACGCATATGGCGCCATCTGTTGGGGATATTTTGGAATTATTCAGCTAAGAACCGAACCAACAGAATATAGGTTGGATTGGGTTTATATATAAAAGCTCCAACCACAGAATAACTGTTTGGAAAGTGCAAATTAACGTACGGACTGGTTTCGACTGGTTGGGAATCCCTCAGATACAATTACCTATGGCAATTACACCTGTCAAATAATGCCGCACATTTGAATATCACCGCATCATATGACATGTGAGATTGCATCTGACGAGCTTTCAACCAGTTATAACGTTAGTTGAAACAAAGCTAATGTTAATTATAATCTAATTATTTAATCATACCATTATTACTTTAATAAATGTTCTTACCTAAAAATCACTTTAAAATGACGTTCTCATCTGTCATTCTGAACAAACTTCATCTTTATAATTTTAAAAGTTGAAGTTAGCGGCAAATTTAAAATATAACATGATTGGAATCTATACTTTTTAAATTAAAAGGATGATACTGGTAATAATTGTTATTGCTGTCTCTGATCATTCCCACTATTAATAATAAAATTGTTAGTTTAATTAAATTATTTCAGTATAGTCGCTAATGCCATCTTACGGTGGGATTTCGACATACAATCAATCCCAAGTTCTCCTATCAAAGATCCCTGGGGCTGTTTGAATCTTAATCACCATGGTAACCGAGTCAAGTCGGATAACCTAACAATAATAAAATTATAACTGTTAATATTTCGCTTTATATTTTAATAATTTTTTTTTTATTTTAATTTAATTTTTTTTTTAATATGTTTGTATATTACTTCTTAAGAGGATAACCTATTAGCGAAAACAACGAATACCATTTTATTCAGCCATCGTTTAAAATTTTTGTATGTTTGTTATATCAAAATTTCTATTTTTTTATATAGTTTTTAGTGATGCATTTAGTTTTTTCAAAAAATGTCGCGTAACGTTTCTAAAATCACGTTTTAAAAAATTTTTAAAAACGGAATGCATCTCCAGGTAGTGAAATGTAAAGTAAATCATATTTAAAGAATTCAATTTTTTTATTAAATGCAGCAAATTTAAATAAAATGGGTTTAAAACGTTTAGTCGGTTTTGATTGCTTTCGGAGTATAAATACGGCAACATCGCAAATATTGCTATGTCCCAAACATTGCCCGAGACATAGTGGAGCTTAGTATTCTCGGTAACCGAGACGTCGGCGTAATGTCTCCAAGAAAAACAAACCTGAAGCGATTAATATTTTCAGATAGATCAAAAAATTTTTATATCACTAATTTAAATTTAAACATTTAATTTACGTAGAATGCAAAACAATGTTTAAGTGTGGCAATAAATTTTTAATAATGAGAATATTTGCACAATTATCTGATCATTTACTATTAGAGTAATTATTAAAATAAATACAAAA